CCCTTCACATCCCATTTATTCCGATTCTGCTGGTATCTCCCTTATTTTCAATTTCAGTGACAAGGGTACAAATCAAGACAGTGTATTCTCCTTAAAGGGGGCACAGACAGCAACAAAAACCTGCTGCCAAACCAACTGCTGACAGGACCTGTGCTTGTAATCACACTGGAAGAATTACCATTAGTCCTTTCTCAGCCAGAGCCATTTTTGCTTTTTTTTGCACACGTTTAAAAAATAATTTTAGGCCTTATGATGACATAAAACCCCCAAACATTATATATATTTTCTGAAAGAAAACACGCTAGAGAATAAAACAGAGGCAGTTCCAGTTTTTTATGTCACACAATATTATCGCGAAGGTCTAGGGAACACAACATTTCAGTGAAAAACACACTAAAGTGAATTCTAGGGCAAACAAACACACTAAATTACCCAAATGGGCAAATTATATAAAAATGAGGTTACACCGAGTAAACAGATACCCAACATGCCGAACCTTATACAGTATTTGCGTGCACCTATGAAATGGGGACAAACTTCAGTACTCTGTATTTTATATAGACAATGCTTCAAAAGCCCCTATAGGTCATCAGTTTAGCATTACAGAGGAGGTCATGTGCTATAATTATTGCTCTCAATCTAGCATGCACGGTGATATGTAACAATTGACATTTACATGAGTAGGAGCCCCGCGTATGCATTTATGCTTGTATGTGCGTATCTGCAATGGCCGAATCAATCGCCTGATCTCAACCCAATTGAGCATGCATTTCACTTGCTGAAGGCAAAACTACAGGCAGAAAGACCACAAACAAAGAACAACTGAAGACAGCTGCAGGTAGAACCTGGCAAAGCATCAGAAAGCAGGAAACCCAGTCTCTGGTAATGTCCATGGGTTCCAGACTTCAGCAGTCTATGCCAGTAAAGGATTCTCAACAAAATATTACAAATGAACATTTTATTTATGATATTCATTTGTCCAATTACTTTTGGTCCCTTGAAAAAGGGGGAGTGACTACTCTTAAGAGCGGTAATTCCTAAACCCTTCCTCCAATTTGGATGTACATACCCATGTACATAACCTGTGAGTGTGCACTTTCAGCCCATATCCATTATATAACTATAGCTTTATATAACTATATTTTGGTAAATACCTGAAAAAAACTAAAATTGTGTCTGTGTCCAAATATATATGGCCCTAACTGTAAATACCACCATTTGTAAACGCTATAACTTTCACATAAACCAATTAATTCACATGTATTGGGATTTTTTTTTAGCAAAGACATGTAGCAGAATACATTTTGGCCTAAATTTATGATGAAATTAGATTTTTAAAATTTTTTTACTGGACATATTTAATAGCAAAATTCAAAAATATAATTTTTGTATCTCAAAATTGTTGGCCTTTTTTCTTTTTTTTTATTGCGCAAAAAATAAAACACGTACAGGCGATCAAATACCACCAAAAGTAAGCTCTATTTGTGAGAAAAAAGGACAGAAATCTGCATGACCGCGCAATTGTCCGTTAAAGTAACGCAGAGCCGTAACGCAAAAAATGGCCTGGTCAGAAAGGGGGTAAATCCTCTGGAGGGCAAGTGGTTAAAAACAAACAAAAAAATAAATCACACTGCAATAAAATAGGATAACTTTATGGCCCCAGTGCTATTTTCCACTTTCCTCAAGTAGCAATAAAAACTTGACAGAGCTGCTTGCATACACAATGCGGGAGGAGCCAGGAGCCCCGGCAGGGGACCCCAGAAGAGGAAGATTGGGGCTGCACTGTGCCAAACCACTGCACAGAGCAAGTATGTATAAAATGTTTATTAGTTTTAAAAAAATAAAATTTGATCCTTTGCAATCACTTTAAACACTGGGTAAGGAACTTTAAATTGGTCAAAAAACACAGTACATTATTAACAAGGGCATTTACAAAAAAGCACTAATCTTACTTATTTCAGCCTGAAATGGAAAATAAATATAGCCTGTGTGCTTCTCAGGGTGCAATGTTCTTTATTGTGGATAAAAGGCTTAATTTCAATTGTTTGCACTGAAAGCCAAGAATACAAAGCAAATACAATGCACCATAGCTGCAGCCAACCAATTTCAGAGCGCAGCACTTCAAAATTAACCACTTGCCCTCCTGAGAATTTACCCCCCTTCCTGACCAGGCCATTGTTTGCGTTACGGCGCTACGTTACTTTAACTGGCAATTGCACGGGCATGCAAAGCTGCACCCAAATTAAATTTACAGCCATTTTTTCTAACAAATTGAGCTTTCTTTTGGTGGTATTTGATCGCCTGTGTGGTTTTTTTTTTTTGCGCTACAAAAAAAAAGACAAAAAGAAAAAAACAATATTTTTGACTTTTTACTATTAAACATGTCCAATAAAAAAATTTTAAATATCAAATTTCGTCATAAATTTAGGGCAAAATGTATTCTGCTGCATGTCTTTGCTAAAAAAAATCCCAATATGTGTAAATTAATTGGTTTACATGAAAGTTATAGCATTTACAATGGAGGTATATATACTAGGATTTTTTTTTTTTTTTTACTAGTAATGACGGTGATCAGCAACCTATGGCGGTGGCGGACATTCTGACACTGGGGAGGAACTGACTTTGGTGTCACTGACATCCCCAGTGACACCAATACAGTGATCAATGCTAAAAAAAAAAAAAAAAAGCACTGACACTGTACTAATGGCACTGGGCGGGAAGGGGTTAACGTGAGGAGTGATCAAAGGGTTAACTGAGTGCTGGGAGTGTTTTTTTCTACTGGGCTGTGTCCGTGTGCTTCACTGTAAGCACACTGCTTTGGATGGCTGTGCTGTGCATAGCCATCCAAAGCAGTGTTCCCAAGCAGACAGGGAGAGCTGTTAGTAAACAAAACAGTTCTCCTCCCAGTCGGAGATCCTCGGAAATCACCGGGCGCCAACGGGTAATCACCGGCTGGGACCCGGTGATTGACAGCCGCGGCTGTGAATGGTGGAGCGGGTAGGACATGCACGCCCCCTACCGGAAAAAGCAACATCATGTATATATATGTGATTTTGCGCACCCTGTGCCGCCCTGTAGCAGTATTTCTGCTATAGGGCAGTTGGGAAACGGTTAAACAATGAATTTGTTGTTTACATTTTTTTCCCTTGTTTTTATCAAAGTAAGTTTTGCAAAGGAAGATCCTAATTTTTAAAGTATACACATAAAATGTTTACTAAAAGAGGAACTTCAGTTTGATTTTTTACTGTAGCTACTGACTTTTAGCAACGCTTGGGGTCCAATGCTGTCTTCCTGCAGCTGGTTCTTCTTACTGCTGTGGGTCACTGGCACCACCATCTTGGATATAGGAGCAGGCTGTGGCTTCCTGAGGAACCACAGCCGACTCCCCACTGTCCATGTGTGACCTAGTGCAGTGCTTGATAATGATCCTACGGCCTCCAGAGACATGCAACATGTATTAGGAGGCTGTTGGAAGGGAGGGGAGGGGGTGAAGGCAAGAGATTTCATCTGCACCTAGGTGAGGACTGCGGAAGTGGGAGCAAGTACCGATAAAAAAAACTCACAGATGCACACAAGCGATGTGGATGTAGGGATCTATCCCGCTGCACTCTTGTATTCTGACAACGGAGCTCCCCTTGTCAGAATACACAGATCAGTGCTGCAGCCATTGGCTGCAAGCTCTGATCGAATGCAGGTTTTACAGCAGGACCGTTCAACAAAAGTCAGCTTCTGTTGAACAGAGGGGGACACAGAGAGTGATATTCAGCCAGTTCCTGCTGAACCAGCTGGATTTCATCCCATATAGACTATATTGCCAAAAGTATTGGGACATTTGCCTTTACATGAACTTTAATGGCATCCCAGTCTTAGTCCATAGGGTTCAATACTGAGTTGGCCCACACTTTGCAGCTATAACAGCTTCATCTCTTCTGGGAAGGCTGTCCACAAGGTTTAGGAATGTGTCTATGGGAACGTTTGACTATTCTTCCAGAAGCGCATTTGTGAGGTTAGGCACTGATGTCTGATGATAAGGCCTGGCTTGCAGTCTCCGCTCTAACTTACCACAAAGGTAAGGTATTGGTTTGAGGTCAGGACTCTGTGCAGGCAGTCAAGTTCCTCCACCCCAAACTCACTCATCCATTTCTTTCTGGACCTTGCTTTGTGCACTGGTGCGCAGTCATGTTGGAACAGGAAGGGGCCATCCCCAAACTGTTCCCACAAAGCTGGGAGCATGAAATTGTCCAAAATGTCTTGGTATGCTGATGCCTTAAGAGTTCCCTTCACTGGAACTAAGGGGCCAAGCCCAATCCCTGAAAAACAACCCCACACCATAATCCCTCCTCCATCAAACTTTACACTTGGCACAATGCAGTCAGGCAAGTACCGTTCTCCTGTCAATCACCAAACCCAGACACGTCGATCGGCGTGCTTTACCTGTCAGCACCTGTGGTAGTGAGCTCTTGTCAACTTGGGGTTCCCCAGGGTGTGGAGTCTAAGCCCCAGCCTGCTTCTTCACCAGAGCCTCTGATGGTGGGGATGGACTTGCAGCAAGCTGTGACCAGGACGCGACCCCGGGTACACCCAGCTGAGAATGAGGAGACTGCTTGAAGGAGCAGAGTACAATGGGAGGAGACAAACGGAAATCCGATAGCCGAGGTCAAGGCGGACAGCTGAGGACAGGTGGAAAACAAGCATAGTCAGGGAACAAAGCCGGGGTCGGTACACGAGTAGTCAATGCAGGATACAGGAGATACTATCACACAGGAGCTAAGACAACTAGGAAGTTGCTCAGGAAAACTGGCCTAGACTGAGCATGTCTTATATAGGCAGGCAAACAAGGAAGCGGGCCAGAAAGTGATGGAAGGGAAGGAAATAAAGCCCAGAGAACAGCAGACGATGCCCATAGGTGAGCACAGACAAACACACATGTGAAAGGGATCAGGAACAGCACTGCAGCAAGGAGGTAAGAATACACAAACAAAAAACTGCAGGCTAACTTGTGACATTACCCCTCTGCATCTGACGCTTTGCATTCCACTTGGTGATGTAAGGCTTGGATGCAGCTCCTTGGTCATGGAAACCCATTCACCCACTGTTGTGCTAATTTGAAGGACACAGGCATTTTGGAGGTCTTTAGATATTGACTCTACATACAGTTGGCAACTTCTGTGCACTGTGTGCTTCAGCATGCACTGACCCTGCTCTGTCATCTTATGTGGCCTACCACTTCATGGCTGAGTTGCTGTTGTTCCCAGTTGCTTCCACTTTGTTATAATACCACTAACAGTTGACTGTGGAATATTTAGTAGCAAGGAAATTTCACAGATGGACTTACTGCACAGGTGACAACCTATCACAGTACCACGCTTGAATTCACTGAGCTCCTGAGAGTGACCCATTCTTTCACAAATGTTTGTAGAAGCAGTCTGCATGCCTAGGTGCTTGATTTTATACACCTGTGGCCATGGAGGTGATTGGAACACCTGAATCCAATGATTTGGAGGGGTGTCCCAATACCTTTGGCAGTATACTGTATATACCGTTCTTTAGGCTGCACATTCATTATGCACCCTAACTGTAATAAATGTACCTAGTATAAGTACCTCAATATGACCAGGTATTACCCTCCTGTAATCCCAGCACTTAGTATGGGAGATGGATGAGCTCGTCAGTCTAGTGCTACTCCTTTACTGTCCATTCATAGGCTGGGGGCAGGGAGGTTACCAAGCTGTGTTGCCTAACTGCAGTAAAGACCAAGTCATTAGCCTAGCTCTGCTGTCTGACAGGGCTTTATAAATGTCAAGACTCTCAGCTCCAATGTATGTACAGTACCTCCACAGTGTGTTTTCTGCTTTAAATCAAAAAACCCCTTTGGGCCCATTCAGACTACTGCTAATTAAATTCATTAAAAAGCATTACATTGCACGCTTGCATGCGTGATGTTTGGGCACCAATTTACTATGAATGGGCTGCTAAGATACTGCAATGGCAAAAAAAAAAATAAACGGCATTTTGCAATAAGGAGCATTGATTTCTACTGGGGGTGCCATGCACATCACATATAAAGCCACCATGTTACCACAATACACAAGTGTGAACGGGCCCTCAGTGTTTTTCATGCACAAAAATTTGAAACTTATGGCAGGGCCAAATAATATTTCTTTACTACTCACACAGTTGCCACAGAAAAAGCTTAGAAAATGTTAAAATGCAGCCCCTGAATAGGGTTAGCTACAACCTGCCCCATCTAATTTCAACCTGTCAACATTTAAAAGAATGTTAGGGCCACGAAAGAAAAAAATAATTAGAGACATGACCCCATGGGATTGTCACCCCTATCACCCATTTCGTTTTTATATAAATCTCACTCTTAATAGAGGGCTATGAGGATTGTTAATTCCATGTCTCTCTATGGCTGCTTTGCTGGTTCTTTCTGCTTTGTGCTTCAGGTAACAAGATGGTTGCTGTTGCTAAGAAGATTTACCTCAACTGTTGAGAACTGGATTGGTGACAAATCTTTAGGTGGGAAACATCTGGCCAACGAGCCTGTCAGCTAGACTCACCTCTGGATTCTCCTCAGCCTTGCTTCTGGATCTTTTGATCTGCTCTCCCACCCTCCTTCCCCTTTGTTAATTTTTCCCTTGTCACGGTCCACCTGTGGGGTAATGTTGCCCACTTTGTGGGTGGACAGTGGTTGGTAAACTGTTATTTGGTTGGTAGAAGATATTGCTGCTTGAGTTTTAGTTACTAAGCATGTTGGTCAGTTAATGGTTAACAGCGGTTCTGTTTGGTATTAAAGGGTAAAGTTCATTTCATAATTAAAATTGATTTAAACCCAATAAAGGGGCCACGGCCTAAACTTTTCCACAACCCTTGTTGTGTGTTTATTTTATTATTTAGGTATGTTCCTATGGTATGCTGGGTGTTAATGGGGTGTTCAATCTCATGATCATGTAGACAGAGATCTCTTTCTTCTGATTTACACTTTATTAGGTACACCTTGCTAGTGCCAGGTTGGATCCCCATTTGCCTTCAGAACTGCCTAAATTATCCATGGCATAGATTTACAAGGTGTTGGAAACATTTCTCAGAGATTTTGGTCCATATTGACATGGCAGCATCACGCAGTTGCTGCAGAATTTTCGGCTGCACATCCATGATACAAATCTCCCGTTCCACATCCCAAAGGTGCTCTATTGGACTGAGATCTGGTGAATGTGGAGGCCAGTGGAGTACAGTGAACTCATTGTCATGTTCAAGAAACCAGTCTGAGATGATCTGAGTTTTGTGACATGGTGCATTATCCTGCTGGAAGTAGCCGTCAGATGATGGGTACACTGGCACCCAGTGTGGTCTTCTGCTGCTGCAGCCCATCTGCAAGGTTCGATGTGTTGTGCGTACAGAGATGGTATTTTGCATACTTTGGTTGTAACGAGTGGTTCTTTGAGTTACTGTCTGCCCATTCTCCTCTGACTCTGGACATCAACAAAGCATTTTCGTCCACACAACTGCCTCTCACTGGATATTTAAACCCTAGAGATGGTTGTGTGTGAAAATCCCAGTAGATCAGCAGTTTTTAAAATACTCAGAACAGCCCATCTGCCACCGACAACCATGCCACGTTCAAAGTCACTTAAAATCCCCTTTCTTCCCTATTCTGATCCTCGGTTTGAACTTCAGAAAGTCGTCTTTACCATGTCTACATACCTATATGCATTGCTGCCATGTGATTGGCTGATTAGCAGTTTGTGTTACCAAGCAATTGAACATGTGTACCTAATAAAGTGGCCGGTGAGTGTATGTTCTGTATTACATAGTTAGTAGCTATTCCAATACGACATCTTCCCACAAAGTCCTTGCAATTCAAGTTCTGAAATCCCCCACAAAAGATCATACAAAAAAGACTGTAGGTAACTCCATGTACCCTAAACTGAAATACTTTTTACTGGAAGGCCTATTAATCATCAATGCATCACCTCTACAATGAAGCCTTATCCGGGTGAAATGTTCAGTTGAGAGTGGCCAATGGGCGAGGTCTGAGTTAAAGCCGCAACTGTTCAATGAGATTGAAATTAAGGCCTCATGCACAATGGACATTTTTTAACGCTGACCCTAGGGGCATCTGGCGTTTTTTTTTTTTTTTTAAATGCCCCTGCATGTAAGCCTATATGTTCGTGCAAACATAGGCGTTCAAAATCAGAAAAACCCCCACTGCCAGCCTGTGGTGTATTTAGCTTTTGTGCTGCCCTAGGCAACACAAAAATCGAACACCCCCCCCCCCTCCTGCAGAGAGAGCCTGACATTAACAAACACCCCTGCCTCCCCCAACCGAGGGAGCCTTCCACTAACACACATCCCCCCTTCTTCCTCAGCGAGAGAGAAAAAGACCCTACTGACCTTTACAGCTCCAGACATCCCTCGGAATGAGAGTCGGGCTCTGCACACACCGTCAAGCAGCCCACAGCCTCTCTCGGATCCAACCTGGTCCCCATGCCATAAGTGTCCCCCCTTCTGTCCCTTTTTCCAGGGAGCGGTGCTGCCCCCCTGAAAAATGCCACCCTAGGCAAATGCCTTGTTTGCCTTGTGGGAAATACGCCCATGCTGCCAGCACACTCAGCAGCAGCAACGATTTGGCAGAAAAAAAATGCTTGACACACCTAAATGCCCTTTAACGATAGGCGTATTTAGCTCGAGGGTTAATTTCACTGTCCACAATAGTGATTTATTATGGTTATTGAAATGAATGCCCAAGCACTTGACGTGCCTAAAGGTGTTTCATGCATTTACAAGATTACCAAGATCCTGCGCAGTGCTTAAATGAGAATACTAAGGCTGCTGCTAGCAATGAGCCACAAATAAATGTGTATCGTATCATATGACGAAACGCATTTGACGGGGCTAGCAGTATCATATTTAGTCTAAGCAAGTGTCCCGGGACATATTTGGTTTTAAAAGTACCATATGCATGGAATACATGCAAGTGCAATTTTAAATGGTTTTATGCAATAAAGTACAGAATAACGCTATGGAGGTCTTTCTTTGATTGCTTTACTGCGGAGGAGGAGCATTGTGACCGTTTGAAGGACTTCCTTACAAGAGTACTCCAGGCTCAGAGGGCAGTGGCTGTTCAAGGGCACAGGAGATTGAATCACCATAGGGGCTGGTTAAAGCACCCAAAAGCGCCTATTGACCTACCTTCACACAGGCAGTCAATAGCTTGTGATGAGTGGGGCTCTGGAGGGGGAGCACGAGTGGAGCACCTATCACGGTTGTTTGCTGGCAAGACCACCAAATTGTCACTATATCACGTTGAATTTTTGGATGTAGAAGGCGTCCTATAGAACCTGGAGTTTACAGTTGCAAGAAAACGTATGTGAACCCCTTGGGATTACGTGGAGTTTTGCATGAATTGGGCATAAAATGTGCTCTGAACGTCATCTAAGTCACAACAATAGAAGAACACAGTCTACTGAACATAATACTACACAAACATTAGATGTTGCCATGGTTTAATTGCACATAACATGTAAACATTCACCGTGCAGGGAGGAAAAAGTATGTGAACCTTTGGACTTAATAACTGGTTGACCCTCCTTTGGCAGCAATAACCTCAACCAAACGTTTCCTGTAGTTGCAGATCAGACCTGCACAACGATCTGGAGTAATTTTGGACCACTCCTCTTCACAAAACTGTTTCAGTGTAGCAATATTCTTGGGATGTCTGGTGTGAATCACTCTCTTAAGGCCATGCCACAGCATTTCAATCGGGTTGAGGTCAGGACTCTGACTGAGCCACTCCAGATGGCCGCAGATGGAACGCAGATATAATATGTCCCTTACTGCAGGTACTCACTCCATTTGCGATTACATCCCAACACTGGCAGAACGTTGTCGCTGTAGTCAGCCTGTCAATGCTTTGTACAGGCTGAATGGATGCAACTGTCTGCAACCACCTGTGATTCCAGCTGCAGGAATCCACTGTATTCTTGCCATGGCAGGCAAACAATATTGTGTGCATGAGCTCTACGAAATTGTTCCATCTTTGCACAGCTCATGGAATTAGGGAACTAAATCACAAAAGCATTGATATGCTGAGCTGTTTACAGAGATTGAATCATTTTCTAAACTGAGTCACATGGACCTGGCACAAGGAATGCTTTGATACAGAAGCGACTCATATGCGTGTCCCAAAATAGCAAATATTCTTTTAAATTGTACTGCCCTATTTTTTGGCAACACTAAATCTGCAGCCCTTAGGTATTTTGAAGCGTTACCCATTTTGAACAGATATACTCTGAAATGAATATCTGAAAGCAGGAAAGATCTTTATGAGTAATATCAAAGAACCAGCAACATGTTCTGCATTTTTGTGACTGGAGGCAGCTATCGAAGGCAATATATTTTCACACTCTAATCACACGGTAAAAGTAAT